CGGTTCCGCCCCTCAGCAGGCTTTGGGCCCGCTCTGCTGGTGTTCACAGTCCCCCTCCTACCTGCAGACACTGGGGGAGGGGACGGGCCTCTCAATTTCATTTTTAAATGAGTCAACAGTACAATGAGATGTGTTTGGGAGGGAGGGTGGAGAATACCGTGACACAAGTTGTATTATCTGGTATCAAGAATCCTAAACAGAAATAGAGAAATGAACTAGGCAAAATGTTCCGCTGAACAACTGTACTTACTCCCAATGACTGTACCTTCTGGTCCCCTGTACTCTCCCAAGTTAGGCATTCAAAAATACATATAGGACTTTTTTGTTAATTTTAGTCTTTCTTGTCTCATCTGTATTCTGGCATTTGGTCACTTCCAATGTGCATTTTATTTATTCGTATTTCAGTGTTCTTAGTATTTCTGCCAAGTCTTAAAACCCTGCCATCCATGCTATTTGTGATGTCAGTCATCCTAACCTCAGCCCAGACACTGTGCTGCCCAATAGTTCTTCCGTTTTGTTTTTCCTAGCCTCTACCCAGGTTCCTCAGCAATCATTCCAGATGTTTGTGCTCACTTCTGATGTTCAGTTTGTTTCTGTAACCTTTACCTTTATCAAGATTAYTCCTCTTACCACCTACTGCCTCCTCTGGGACCTGTGGCAAGGTGTTGAGGGGGTCCTTTCCTCTCACATCATCAGGTCCTCTCTCTATATTAACTCACATCACAGGGGCCTCATATTTTAAATAAGCAAACAAAAAAACTCAAGTCAGTGACCCTTCTGTGATTCTGTAAGTGAAAGTATCCCTGTTAACCACTTTATATAAATAGTGCTATCAGCTGAATGTCCTCTCCAAAAATCATGCTGAAATTTAATTGCCATTGTCACAGTACGAAGGTGGGACCTCTGAGAGGTGAGAGGTTCTGGCTCTGCTTTCAAGAATGGATTAATGCTGATAATGGGAGTAGGTAAGTGATTGCAGTGGTGGGTCCTGGCAAAATGGATGAGTTTGACCCAATTTTTATGTCTCAGCCATACTCTGCCCTTTGCCATTTTATGACACAGCGCAGAGGTCTCCTCCTGACGCTGGCATCAAGACAAATAGCTTAGAGTGGTCCACCCCATTCCTCATTAACGCCCTTCCTTACTCCCTTTGATCTTGCTTTGGTTTCTAATACAGTATAGAAGTTGCTGACCCATTTGTCTTTTTGTTTCAGTCTTCAACCTCAAGGCCCTATTTTTCCTACTCAGTATATCTTTTAGGAACCCTCAACTTGGTTTTCTACCTCTCTTAAGATGTATTTTGTGGCTTAACTCACTCCACATTCTTCTTCTATCTGAATGCAGATATTCGAGAAAGGCCCAATGTTCCTGTCTCTCGTCATTCCATACTCTCTGCCTAACAAGCTGCTTCCAAATTTTCAAACTTTATGCTTCTAATTTTGTGTTTTTTATGGCTTCAGCCCTGTCCTCTTTCCCTGATCAAAATCCCTAGTGCCTACTTAAATTTACTGTTTACAACTCAAGCCTACAATTCAAACTCAGTAGTGTCCCTAAATCAAGTTTATTATTTTTTCTCTCCAAAAACTTCTCCCAACTCTATGATTTCTGATATGGCATTCACCACCCTTCTAGAAGCCTGAATCCTTATTTTACATTCAGCAAATATCCACTGTGTGCTTAATAAATGTTAGTCAACAGCTCCAGGCCCTGAGCATAAAGAAGCAAACAAGATGAATGAGGCTCTTGCCCTTGTAGAGTTTATGTTCTAGAGTGGGGAGGCAGGCAGAAAAATCATCAAATTTTGGTAGAGAGAAGTGCTGTAAAGAAAGTAACAAGTGAATGTCTATTCTGAAGAATGGGGTTGGGCAGCAGGACAACATTAGACAAAGAGGTCGAGGATGACAGTCTGAGAGGAAGACATTGAGCTGGGACTGGAATACCAAAAAGGCCAACGTGAAAATATGGAGGAAAGAGCTTCTTGAGCAAAGGGATTAGGGAGTACCAGAGCCCCAGATGGGTACATGCCTGTTTCCTTTATTCCCACTTCACCCCATCACTCTAACTGCAAATGTTCCTCAAGTTGTGCAACGTGATCTTCATTTTGATCCCTCTTGAACTCATTTCCTCCTGGGTGAAGCCCTTGTTACTTCTTGTTCCCCTTCTACTCTCTGTTCTAGTGCAACCCTTGTGTCACTACAGAATTAACCTTTGGAAACTGAAACTTGGCATCATACTCTCCCTCCCAAACCCCTAGTGACTCTATTTGCTGAGCTAATACAAACTTGGAAGTCTGACATTCAAATCTTTTCATGATGTAACCTTAAGATATCTTTCAGTTCTTTTCTTGTATTGTGCTGTGCACAATCTGCTGAAATTAGTGTACAGAACACACCTTACACATTCCTGCCTCCAAGGGACTGGTGTGTCTGTCCCTTCCCTTTGGCCTATTTTGCTCTCACATCCAAGATGGCCAATCATAACCCTGCAAGCCCTACCTACCTCAGGTCATCTTCCCATGTAAGAACCTTTAGAATTCTCTTCAGAATGAAGTTGATTCAAGATCAAGTTTGTATCAACCTTATTCCTCCCTCCCAGCATTTTTCATGTATTTTCCCTGGATTGTGGTCATGTGCACATCTATTTTTGCTCTACACCCCTTACTATGTTGCAGATGTTTTAAGACAATGACCACATGTTACTTATCCTTGTGCTAGTGCATTGCCTCACACATAGTTGGCATTGAATAATATTTGTTGAACAAATGAATGAGTTTGTCAAATCTGAATTTGATTAACTAATATTTATTTCGTGATGTTTCCCTTTTATCATTGCTCTTACGGGTTTCTCATGAGACCTTTTGTGAAAAGGCAGAAAGCAGAGAGGAAATGCAGAGTCCTTGTTTTGAAACAGTCTAGTTGGTTTCAATCTGGTCAAATGATTAAGTTTATATGGAGAAACACTAAACATGACTGAGTAATCTGTATAGTATGAGATAAATAATTCTTAGTGAAATATTAATTGATTGATTTTCTGCTCAGGATACATAAAACTTCTTTTTCTTTTTATTTTTTGGTACTGGAGATTAAACTCAGAGGTGCTTAACCACCGAGCCACATCCCAGCCTTTTTCATTTTGGAGATGGGGTCTCACTAAAGTTAAGTAGGGCTCACTAAATTGCTGAGGCTGGCTTTGAACTTGCGATCCTACTGCCTCAGCCTCCTGAGCTGCTGGGATTATAGGTCTGCACCACAGTGCTTGGCGATAAAACTTAACATTATTCAGTGAGTAAAAAAGTACATGATTGCAATCAAAGAGCCTCAGACTCACCACGTTACTGCATGTCCTATATCGAATATTTCTTCCTTCACAGCTCCTAGTCATAAAAAGAAAAGAGAAATCTCATTACTACCTATGAAAGGATCAAAGTTTGAACCATTTTGTAAAAGTTAATTTCCTCTTAATACTAGTAAAAGGGTCTTTTCTTCTAAGAAGCTTCATAGAGATGTTGCCATTAAATACTAAATGGGGCCGATCTAAGGAAGATGTATATATAAATTGATTTCTCTAGAAGGGCTGAAATTAAGCATTTATCTTGCTTCAATATTTTTCAAAATAAGTACTTAGTATAAATTTAACCAAATAAATATTAGGGTAAGGTTTTCTAAAAAATATTTATATTATATTAATCCTATCATCTTAATTATTTCTAATATAAAACTGAAGAGACATTTTGGTAAAAAACCTTAGAACTTGAATATGATAAAAAGTGAACTTGGTATTCAACATGTCTTCTAAGGATAGAAAAAGATATAATTCTTAATCAGTTATTTTTATTTCTAAAATGCACCCTCATTATAGTAATTTTGGAATAGATTACCAAAATGAAAAAAAAAGTTCCCTGTAATGGTCTCATCTAAAGATAATTACTATGATTGATATTTCTTTCTAGTGCAGAGGAAATCACATCAATTGTACAATTTTGTAACAATTTTGTCCCACTTAAATTTTTTTAGAAGTATTTTCCACACTATATTGAGAGCTACATAATATTCCATCAAATGGTATAACACAATTTGTAAATTATTATTCTACTAATTGTCCTTTAATTAATTTTTGTAGGGTTTGATAAATGAGAGTGTAATAAACCACCCCTAAGCATATGTCTTATCCAAGTTTCTGACTATGTCTTTAAAATTAATAAATTTCTAGAAGGGGAATTACTGAACTAGAGGGAATGAATTTTTGCAAGGCTCTTGAAAACTATTGCCAAATTGCATTCCATAAAGGTTGTACCATTACATACTCCCACCAGAAATACATGGGAGTTCCCATTTTACTGAATTCTTGTGAACAAAAACAATCAATATTTGGTAAAACATCCAATAATGACAATTCATGAACAGCAGTATTCTGCTCTTTTCAAACTAGGTCACAAGTAAAACTATACTATGGGACTCTGAATGACCACATGAATAGCTAATAGTTAAGGAAGACCAGGTATAATTTAAATTTGTTATGTGCATTATTTTATTTAATATCAAAAATCTTGAGAGGGATGATACTGTTGTTAATACATTTTACAGATTAAAAAAAAAAAAACCACTGAAGCTTAGAGAGGTTATGTATCTTGCCCAAATCGCACAACTGTTAAGTTGTACAGATGAGATTTGAAACTAGGCCATCTGGCCTCAGAGCTGACACTCATAATCACAAGGCTTTAATGCCTAATTTATTATTTTGTTCAGCAAACATCCATAGAGCTGCTGTTATGTGCCAGGCAAGGAACTTACTTAGGGGAGTACAAAGAATAATGAATATCACTTGGTTTCTGCTATTAAGAAAATCAATTATATAATTATAATTCAGCATAAAAATGCTATCTAGTAATTGTGCTAGGTCTTGAGAATGTTAACAGAGGAAAATGTTATCTGAAAACACAATTATATGAAGGCTATCTTAGGTCTAAAGACTTTAATTAGATTGACTATATTAATGAAGGCATTCAACTCACAGGAAAAAGGAGAATTGACCAAGATGTGTAGTTGTTAGTACCCAGGCCCAAGATACCCTGGAAAAAGGGTCAATGAATTTCAAGTCTTTCATGCCCCATTGGAAAGGTGGTTGTTGTTATCTTGATGGCTTAGGGGAACCCTAGCTGATGCCAACAAATGCTCAGTTCATATGAAGAATGTTTCCCATGATGAAGCCATATTGACCAAACTGCCAGCCAAGAATGATCTGGATTTTCATGACTTCTGAGAGGTAGACAGCACTAGCCACATTGACAAGAATATTGTGGTACACATGATAGATTCTTTCATTCCTTGTTGTGCTTATATAAACTGGCACCTCAGTTTGAAACATTACTTTCATGGGTCAAGTCATTGTGAGAACATCCCCAAAAGAAAGATCTATTCTTGGTGTTATTGTTAAAAAAAATATATCAAGCTCCTGATTCTGAAAACATGAGAGTTAGGCTAGGGATGATGGTAAATTTACAAGATAATGAATTTTGCAACTGGGGTTCCTTTGGTAGCTTGTCATACAGACATTGGTATTTCTTGCATATGATAGGCTTTTCAATTTTACAATGCTGGTGCATACGTAACACCCTATAGTAGGTAAGAGTACTCACTTTGAAACCAGACATCTCTTTATGGACTCATGACCTCAAATTCTATACCCCAGTTTTATTCATCTGCAAAATGGGCTAATATTACTTATATCACAGGAATATTATGAGGATTTAGTCAATAACTATAAATCATTATAGACAGTGACCAAGTCATAGTAAGCATTATGAAAGCATGTGATATATTAATTAATATGTAATAAAAATTATAGATATTGAAAAGAGGTTAAATATATATAGAAAAAGTTGTAAGAAAGGCAGAGCAGCATGAAAAGATTTGGTATGTTTGCAAATTTTCAAATAGATCTGTGTTTTTGGAATTTGGAGTTCATGTGGTAAATTGCAATAAAGAGAATATCATTTCAATTTTGAATTTTATAATAAGCAAAGAGGAATCACTTACTGACGGTTTTAAAACAGAAAAATTGCAACTATGACTTCTTGATTTTATCACTGAGAATGAACCTATTTTTTTCTACCCTTTAAAAAAAWTCTTCTTTTCCTAAACTCATATCTATGAAATGAATAATGGAATTAATTCTGAATTAGAAATTTGACGACCAGGGCAATAGATTTTGTTCCTGTACTTGCATAAGCCTTTTGCCATCTTATGCTCTTAACTTCCTAGTTCTCAAATGGATCCAGTAACATTATTGCATAACTTTGTGAACACCAACTGAGATAATACACAGAAGTTCTGTTCTCATGCCAAAGGATTATAATAGAGATACCACTTACAAAATAGAAAAAAAGAAAATAGAAAAATGCCTTTTCAATAATTTAAATGAGCTTTTCCCCAGATATTTTAAACCATAAATACCTATACAGGTTTTACAAGCATCCTTGGAGACAGGAGATACAGCATACAATGTCAAAGACTGACTTAAATACTTCTTAATCAGGAAAAACAAAATAAATACAAACAAACAAAAAAGAAAGCAAAAAAAAGTGCTTGCCATATTTTTCAAAGAAATATTCTGTGATGGTTTAGCAACTAATACTGATTTATAAATAATTTATTTATATCTCTGAACTGTCTTCCCTTTACTATATCCTATTAATATTTAATTGAGAGCTTATTTAATTTGACTGAAATATAACATTAAAAATGTTAGTTCTTAAGTTTGGCTCCTACTCAATATTGAAAACCATTATCCAATTGTGTATACTAACAGAATATTAGCCTCTACCACATATTTAGTGCCTGCTCTTGATCTCTAATCCAGTATTATTACATTAAGTCTAATTAAATCTAACTCTAAAAAATTTACAATAATTCTGCAAAATTTTAACAATTCTGTTTAACAAATAAGAAAACTGAGCCTTAAAGTTACATAAACAGAAAACACCAGGGATTTTAAATCCTGGTTTGACCAACTTGAAAGTAGGTAAAACAGTAAGTAAAGGAACAAGATGTGTTCCAGACGTGYAGTAAGTTAACTGGAGACTAGAAATCTGGGAAGCTGAGCAGGGAGGGGCCAGGCACTTAACTGCATTTTATTGATACTATATCAATTTATCAACTGCTTCTTAATTCTGGTAAATCCACTTCCAGTAAAGCAAACCTAGACACGCACTGGAATATCTCCAAGAGAAACACTCATCAGTAAGATGCAATGTGGAAGAATTTCAGTGCAGAGAAGCTCATTTAAAAAATTCAAACATATTAAACTTGAATATAAATTTTATATCAGTAGCAAAGTGACTATTCCACTGCAAAGATTTTACTTTTTGCCAACTGTGAATTTCTTTACTCAAGGTATTTATCTGGGCACAAAAGCCTTATCTGTGTATCTGAGAATCAAGTAGTACAAAATTTCTCTGTCTCTCTCTCTCTCTCTCTCTCTCTCTCTCTCTTTTTTTAAGTTTGCTAATATAAAACAGCTGAGTGGGTTCCTGCACATTTAATCAAACTTTTAAAAGTTCACCTCTGGAGAAGAAAACAAACATCAGAAACTTTAGTCCAAAATGATTTCTGAGAAAAATTACAGAGCACTGATAACACAGAATAGAAGTCACTGCCTTCTCCCAGTGCCAACTACATGACACAGGACGGTGTTCAGTGAGTCAAGGACTGTACCAGTTATGGCCTGCCTCAAGTATGCAAAAGCACCACATAAATATTAGAATATATCCCAATCCAAATCTGTCCAGAAATTTCCTTGTTTATTTCAATACTTCACTCTTAGCTACTTATTAATTTGGACTTAATTTCTTCTCTCAGACAATGATTATCTCAATCGCAATCATTATTTGTGAATTATTCAGGCTTTAGATAAATTTACCAGAATTTAGTTAAAATGAGATTATTGTAGACTTAAGGGGTATTTTGTCTCTCATTAACAAATAACAAAACCCTCCAGATTCCTTTAACTCTTAAAGTCCTCATGCTATCTTATTTTTGATTATCATAATTTAACAACCTTAAGAAGAGATGAATTGCCATTGAAAATTAAAACTCTCTTTTGCAAATTGCTTTAGCCRTTTGTTGATCTCTTTTCTTTCTTGCCTGCTTATATAATTCTTTATTAAGAGAAAGGAGTGTATTTGGTTTCTCTCTCTCTCTCTTTGCTTTTTTTTTTTAATGTTTTTTTAACTTGGTTATAGACCTTTATTTATTTATTTATATGTGGTGCTGAGAATCAAACCCAGTGCCTCACACATGCCAGGCAAGTGCGCTACTGCTGAGCCCCAGCCCCAGCCTGATTCCTCTCTTTTTTAATCTTAAAATTCTTCTCATT